GTTTTTGTTTGGGAACTGAGTAAAATTATTTTAAAGAAGACTATAGAAGAATAAGCTAAGAAAATTATTTTTACGAAGAGTAGTAAAGGGTTTTAGGCTACACAGAGAAGGAATTTGGCCTAATGCTTAAAAACAGGGCTCATACCCAGGCTGTGCTCTTGGTGGTAGGGTGCAGAACATGTTCTTCAACCTCTCTTCCCCTTAATTTCATCATCAGTAAAATGAGGATATCAATAGTACCTCATAGGGTTTTTGTGAGGATTAAATCTAAATTGCTTAGAACAGTATATTATAGTAAATATTACAACTGTGTTCTGTTATTATATTACAATTACTATAAAATCAGTATATCAAAAGAGTATCATAAAGATCCAGAAGTAGGCAAATAGATAATGGAACAAATTAGAAATAGAGTCCAGCATGCATGGGAACTTAATGTATCATAAAGGTAGAATTTCAGTTAAGCAGAAAAAAATAATAATTTATTTACAGAAGTGGCACAACAAGCTAGGCATCTGGAAGAAATACATGTCATATACAAAAATAAATCCCAGATGGATTCCAGATTTAAATGTAACCAAAAAATAAAACTTTTAGAAAAAAATTAGGAGAATAATCAACCTTGAGATGAGAGAGACATTCTTAAATAGGACAGAAAACTCAGACACAATAAATGAAAAAGCAGACATATTTGACAACATAACATACAACTTAACATTTTTCTATAGCAAAAAACATAAATAAAATAAAAAGATAAGTTATAGTCTGAGGAAATATTTGCAACACATTCATTCATTTAACAAATATTTATTTGAACACCTTTTATACAATAGGTGTTACCGGATGCCATGCTGAATAAAACATTCAGCAAATGCTACAAGTCAGGGATTGACTTATTATTTTGTTATCTGTCTAAATGATATTCCTGTATTCATGAAGTTTACTTTCTAGTGATAGATGATACATATGACTAACAACATACAAAGAGTTCTTACAAGTGAGAGAAAGAAAAAATATGGTAAGAATGGTAAGAAGACATAAATAGACAATTCAAAGAATTCCAAAGAACCATCACATATGAAATTATATCTATCGTATTCAGATGGTGGAATCACTGAATATTTCTTCCCAACTTTGTGTTCAGTAGCCTTATGCTGGTAGTTTGAATGCAGTCATTATGAGAATATTTACACCATGGAAATCAGCAAATGTTAAAGTCAGAGCTTGATTTATTATTTTGTTATTTGTCTAAACTTAAGAAAGTGATGGGAAGAAATGTTAAAAATACATATTAAAATTAACAGTGTGGCATATCTGTGCCCATCACATTATGAATAGCACAAAACATTAAGGAAATACTCTTCCCGTATTTGAAAACTATTACCCAATTCAGCACAGAAGTCACTCACCTCATTGACAAATGAGTGAGGTTCCAACATATGTAGTGCTAAAGCTGAAAGAGATTTTAGTTTAATGAATATAATTGATATGAGGATAGAAAATAGTTTAATAGTAGATCACATTTCCAATTAAATGACAATAAATTTATTGGGAAATGATAGTGGACCCCATTTGCCAAATCATGGTTGAAGTGCGATCATAGGTTGCATACAGATCTAAGAGTTCAGCAATAACCAGCCAAAGCATTCTGTAAGATTCACTTAGCTATATAGAACTTATGACAGATTACTGTATATTCTATTATTATTTATAAATTTCGTATATTTAATATCAGTAAAATTTATAATAAATGTATGTGCTTACATATATACACACACACACACACACACACACACACACACACACACATTTGTGTGTGTGTGTGTGTGTATGTGTGTATGAGCCAGTTAAACATTTACCAACACACATCCCTTTAACCAGAATTTATTCATATGGCCAAGGAAGGCTTGTTTTATCCAAGCAACTTTGTGACCAGCTAAAATTCTATTACTATGATAAAGAATAGGCTATATTTGGAGAAAGAATTAGTGATTTCTGACACAGCACTATGACTTTCATTTTATGTAAGAGGTAACAGACTCAGAGAGCTTAAGTTAGCTTGCCCAATATCACTTACCTAGTAAGAAGAGGAACAGAGATTTGGACTCATGTTTGTCTAGCTTCAAAGTTGGTGTTTTTTTTTTCTCACTACACCAGTCTTCACCCCAGAAATATAACATGTTGAGTTTGAGGTAATGGTAGAATTTGCAAGTAAAAATTTTTCCAACTTCCCCATAGGTATGTACTTATGAGATGACTAATGGAGTAAAAGATTTCTATCACACAAAAAAGTCAATGAATAGCTGGGGTTAGGAAGTCAGTGGAAACAATGTGTATTCTCTAGAAAGCTGATTTGCCTACAGGGAAATTAAATGTGATTTTGTCTAGAGAAGTAGGGAGTCATCTATATATCTTCATTTTTTTTCAGATGAAGTCCACATTATTTTTATTATTTTTATTACCTCAGAAATAAACATTGCTATGGATACATCATGAGAGATGGATGGTGACCAGAGAGGGGAGAGAGGACTTGGACATGAGAATAAGGCAGCTTGGACAATTGCCTTTTCCCCAATTGATCAGTAACACTTTCACTGTAATGTATTTAGCTCTGTGTAGGAATCTTATATACTTTAAACCCCTTGAAGGCAGGAACTGTATCTTGTTAAATGTCTTAACATAATTTCTCCATACAGTTAATGAGTGAGAAATATTGGTTGAATGAATTGTCATGTGAGTGCACTGTGATTAAATATACTTGTTTATATAATACGTATTTTACTTCTCTTTGAATATTCCCTGAGAGGAGAAGCCATGTCTTCCTCAGGACCAAAGATTATTCAATAATTTATCCAACAGATATCCATTAAACTCTTGCCATATATAAGGCATTATAGAGTGAAAATATTAGCCATTCCTTAGACTAGGAACTCTTCAAGGGTTGGGACCACATTCCTTTTTTTTTTTTTTTAATATATTTTATTGATTTTTTACAGAGAGGAAGGGAGAAGGTTAGAGAGTTAGAAACATCGATGAGAGAGAAACATCGATCAGCTGCCTCTTGCGCATCCCCTACGGGGATGTGCCCGCAACCAAGGTACATGTCCTTGACCGGAATCGAACCTGGGACCCTTGAGTCCGCAGGCCAACGCTCTATCCACTGAGCCAAACCGGTTAGGGCTACATTCCTTCTTTTCTCTGGAATTTCCCCTAGAGAACTGTATATATTCAGAATGCAAGTTTCATTATAAAAATAGCTACAATGGGGGGAAAAGGAAACATATGTACTACTATTTGTAATACTTTAAACAATAAAATAAAATTTAAAAAAATAAAAGAAAAAAATAGCTAATACTTATTGATGTGTTGGCACCAAGTGCTTTACATGTATTACCACAATTAATCGCTATAACAACCATAAGAGGTGGTCATGATTATTACCCCCACCTTGTGGATGAGAAAACTGAAGCTTAAGAAATGAAGTAGTAAACAATCAAACAGTATGAAGTGTCAGAATCCTTGCATCCCAAATTGTTACCCACTGTGTTTTCCTGGCTTCCCCAATTCTCTAGGGCAGCACTGAAAAGAATGAGCCATTTAAAAAGCCTAACCCTGTAGCTCTGCCATGGACCCTGGACTCTTCCTTAAGTCCCTTCCCTTCTTAGCTAGGACTGGAAGATAAGGATGAAAAGGTTAATTTTTTAGACTTAAGTGCCTTGTAACAGAATCAGTGAACACCTTTTATGGCAGGTGTTAGAGTTTGGTTTTATGGTTTGGGTTACAGACTAATCTCACCTGTCTCTGGTTAATTTACAAAATCAAGAGTTTCCCTTTTTGCTGAAACTGGCACCAATATATTGAAAAAGCCTTCAAAGAAACAGTGGAATTTTTAAAAATTCTTGGCTTTGTCTTGTTCAAGAAGGATGACTGAACTCAAGTATTTACATTCCCTTCCACCAAACTCTCATTGAAACAAGGGTAAAGATGTACAAAAGAGAATAGGAGGGAGGAGTAATTCATAGAATTTGATGACTTTCTGAAAAAGAGAACGTGAATAAGACCTAATTTACAGGTAAAATAGAACTGCAAATGTACAGGACGAAGGCAGAGTTGGATAAGAAATAAGGGGGGTGGGGTGCAGGAAGGAAGAAATAGAGAAAGATTAGAAACGTCAGAGGTGGAAAACTTTGTTAGAAAGTTAAGCTCCATCTATGAAGCAAACTAAAGTGCAATGTGACTTCCAACACAACATAAAGTGTAAGCAAATGCAATCCATGTGGCCTTAATGTTTAAACAGGTTTCTTTGAACAGTACTACTTCTCTAAGGATTCAACAACAGTATTTGGTGTATCAAGAATGTTACTTAAAGAGTCAAATAGTAAAACATTGCCAAAAGGTTTCTAATTTTTAGAACCAGCACACAGAGAAACCATGGAAGATTGTATAGTTCCAGAATAGGATGTAAAAATTATAAACCTGCATAAAGTAAAAGTAGTACTGTAAGAGGAGGACAAACTAGAGGTGCTGGTTTCTGCATTGTTTATGATAGAGAATCAAAAGATATTGTCTACAGTTGATTATATAAGAACTAGACTTTAAGTATATTATATAAAGTTATAAAAGTAATCAATAGAAGGGCCAATTATAAAAATACTAGAGGCCCGGTGCACGAAATTTGTGCATGGGCGGGGTCCCTAGGCGTGGCCAGCGATCAGGGCTGATCAGGTTCCCTGCCTCCCCACCTCCCCGCCTCCTCCTTCCCTTGCTGCTCACATCCACCACCACCCACCCCCAGTTCCCTGTACCAGCCCGGGTCCCAGCCCCGATCAGGCAATCGAGACACGCTGAGGGGTTTGGGAGGGGGGGAACCAACTGCCACCTTGGTGGGCAGGCGGCAGGCCAATTGGGGCCTGCCAGCCAGGGGTAGGAATGGGGGGAGGGACCCAGGAGGTTGGCCACAAGCCCCAAGGAGGGATCTGGTCCTCAGTTCTCCATCCCAGCCCAAGGTCCTGGCCCCAATCAGGCAATCAGGGAGTGCTGGCCAGGGGGAGGGACCAGGAGGTTGGCCAGCAGGCCCCATCAATGATCGGGGTCTGCAGGCTGGGGGAAGCTCCTGTGTTGAGCGTCTGCCCCCTGGTGGTCAGTGTGCATCATAGTGACCAGTCGTTCTGGTTGTTCCATCATAACGGTTGCTTAGGCTTTTATATATATAGATAATTAACAAAACTTGGGAATGGAGGGGAGGGGAAAGTTCATATATGTGCCGTTCCAGCACAACCAAGGGTTCGGTGAGCCTGAGGAGGGGTGGTAAAGGATTAAAGAAAAGACAGACAAAGAGAATATAGCTGGGGCTCAGTGGATCTCCTGTGTCTGGATCCAGCCAGCAAACTGAGGCTTTATTTTATAGTCAAAGAAAAACAAGGTAGTGGTCAGCATAGTTACAATGTTCTTGTGAGTTTCACTTGTTTCCGCAGCACTTGCTGCATCTCCCACAGCCCATTAGCAACCTAGGAAGGATCTAGGGCAGGGGTGGGCAAACTTTTTGACTTGAGGGCCACAATGGGTTCTTAAACTGGACCGGAGGGCCGGAACAAAAGCATGGATGGAGTGTTTGTGTGAACTAATATAAATTCAAAGTAAACATCATTACATAAAAGGGTACGGTCTTTTTTTTTTTTTTTAGTTTTATTCATTTCAAACGGGTCTGATCCGGCCCGTGGGCCGTAGTTTGCCCACGGCTGATCTAGGGAGTGCTACAAGGTCAAGCTTAATTATGCTAAAAGGACTCTTCCCTCTAAACTGGGACTTGTTTGTGGCTCTGCCACAGGTCAATCCGAGGCTTAACTCTAGAGCCGCTCCCTACACATATAAGTGAGCTAAATTCCCCATCTTTCATAGTAAGGAGTCAATGGATAAGATCTAAATTTGGTAAATCAAGAAATAAATGATTAGTATATTATTTTGGTTTTTGTTTTGTTAATCCTCACCTGAGGATATTTTTTCATTGATTTTTAGAAAGAGTGGAAGGGAGGGGAAAGACATAGAAACATCAATGTGAGAGAGACACATCGATTAGTTGCCTCCTACATGAGCCTCAACCAGGGCCGGGGATCTAGCCTGCAATCGAGGTATGTGCCCTTGCCCAGAATCGAACCTGGGACCCTTCAGTCCACAGGCTGACGCTCTATCCACTGAGCCAAACTGGCTAGGAAAGCATATTATTTTGAACAGTTATGATGAATAACAGAAGAACTAAAAATAGAAACGGCTAAAAATGTGTACTTCCTACCTATTCCAAAGAAACACTTCCACATGTGTACCAGAAAGTAGGGACAATGATGTTCAGCTCTGTGTGACATAGCAAAAAATTGGAAGTATCTAAATGTTTATTGCACATACACAAATTATGACACTGTCATATTACACAACAGTTTAAAGAAGTAAAATCAATATATATGTACTCTTCACATGGAAAGATATCCAAGACATTATTGTCAAAAAAAGCAAGTCGCTGGATAATAAATGTGGTATGCCATTTGTGTAACATAAAAAACAAACAAACAAACATATATACTTATAAAGATTATAAAGATCTGGAAACAAATCCACCTCTGTTAGCAATGGGGGAATGTAACTGGGGTGATGGTCAAGAGGGACTCTAACTTTGTTTGTATGGTTTGAAATTTTTATAAGACAGTGTTCATGCATGATTTTTGTAGCCTAAAACAAACGGATAATTTAAAGTTGTTACCAGACATAGAGTTTTTCATTTATACCACCGTATGACATATTAAGTTCTTTTTTTACTATGTATTATTTAAAAATTTTAACTTTAAGCAACAAGACTCAATGTTTTTGCTCCTTTAGTTACAGAAAACTTCATAGAACAGTATTGCTGCAAGCAGTTCTCTAAGCACAAAGGTTGCCCTCCCACCAGCCCCATAAATGATCATTATTTATGACCACTTCATGACATAGATGTGTACAGCTATTTACCATTTCTGCTGGGAGGATGGATGTTCACATTCATATGAGACAAAAACAAATCAAGATTCAACTAGACAGGCTGCTGTGGGCTTGGGGATTAGAAGAGCAAAAATAAAAATAAAAAACAAACCTAGCAACATACTTCAGTAAATCACTTCTCTTCTCTGTCTTGTTCTTACGAAAGAATTTAACAACCTCATCTGGGTTGCAGACATTTTTATGAACTCACCACTGAGTTTTAAAAAGCATGAACAAAATATTTGGCTAAACTGGACTCTGGACTGGAAGCTAGATTATAATCACTGTAGATGTTTTTGTCCAGGGTTCAAAATTACAGTGTATGTATGTTACTTCATCTGTCCAACAATGGCTCTTCCCTTTTTTCTTATCTTTGTGACCAACCTTTCAGAAAGCTTCAAAATTTTAACCAGACCCTATAGGTTTCACTTCTTTAAACTAAGTGAGATCATTTGAACATTAGGAGAATGAAAGAATATTTTTTCCAATTCTTATTCGAATCCTGATCTTCCAATAGCCTCTTTCCTTCAATACCCCACCATTTTGTTCTTTCTGAACCCCAAGGAGTGGGTTGAGTTTAACCTTCCTCTCCTATTGCTTGTTATTAGGTCTGATTCACTTGGGAGGTTCCTGGAATCCCAAAGTATCACAGGTTTTAGTTCAGATGGTAATTGTGAGCATTTTGTTTTACCTGTAAAGATTAACATTAATGAGTTTGTTCATAAACAATATTACTTAATCATCTCAATGTCCCTATAAGGCTGGGTTTTAAAAAGGAAACCGGGGTGAAGGGTTAGGAACTTTGCCCTAGGAAACACATCACAACACACTGCTCGCCATCCCAGGCCTTCAACACAGTTCTCCTGGTCCAGTTATCTACAGGAGGTCTTTATTAAAAGGCCTACTGGCCATGCTTTTATAAAAGTGCCTTTATACAGTTTAGTAAACTTGAAGGGGCTGTAATGAGAAGATCTCTTAATGAATACCTTTGAAGTTGCCAACACCTTTCAGATATATTTGTAGTGATACCATGAGTTGCTTTTTAATCTGTTGAAACAAAGCACCCTATGTTTGACGTTGGGCTCTGAATCCTGACCTGTGTTTCTCTACCTGGGGCATTTAGGGCAGTGAACTGCCACTTGGAAAGAGGATCCACCTGTGTGGTGTCCCAGTTATCACTCCATCTCTATTTGAGCCCCTCCCTTTTTTTTGGTCAAGCTGATGTAACTTCACTCCTGGATTTTGGAATATGCAGGAGAGAACCATAAGGTCTTCCCACTATTACCAACCAGGTAAAGAAAGAAGACAGAGGTAAAAAAAAAAAATACAAAGACAGAAACATCATGTTTTCCACCTCATGTCAGCTTGGCCTGGGCATTGACATTATTCCACTCACCCTCATAATGGAGGTACTTGAACCAAACTCAAAGGTTGGAGTTTGGAACATCAAATCAAGCCTTCGTATACTTCATTCATTTTCCCATCTGCCACCTCCCCCATTTTTCTAATACTAAGGCTGCTCCAATGTGATCTAGGCTTTTTCTGCCTTTCTTGTTCCCAAGTTGAAATTTTCTCACTCTCCCCCATTGATTCAAAATGTCTGTGCCTTCCACAGGCAGATATACTAAAAGGCTTAGAATAGGACCTCCTTCCTCCTCCCAAATAAAGCACACATAGTTTCTTCAAGACTTAAATACATAAAATTTCCCCCACCTTATTTTTCAACTAGTTTATCATGAACATCTTCCCGCATCAACCTACTTCATGAAGCATCCTTTTTAATGTTTCAAAATTGAAGTATATTTCCCTGTCTTTCCACTGTTGAACATTTAGGTTCTTGCCAGTTGTTCACTGCAATGAACATCTTGTATCTAAATCTGTACATACAAAGTATGATTTCTATATCATAAGGAATGCAGTCTGATGAACAGGGAGGAGGTCCCCTGGAAGGCCTGTTATGCATCTTCATTTTCTATGTACGCTTGGTACCAGCCCTCCTTCCAATCACTCTGAAACCTATTAGTTCTGGGGGACAAACTTGGGGAAATGGCGTGGGTGCTGATATACCTTGATATGTCTAAAAAAATCATTTTTATTATATATACCTCTTTTTACCAGTTTGGATAAAAGCTAGTAAAATTTAACTGAAATCTTTATGGACAATTCATGAGGATTCTGTCTGGACAATTAGAAAGGTGATTGAGTTTCTAGAGTAGATTTGGGTTTTGTGAGGTCAGCAGCTGATCTGAACCTTTAACTAGCTGTTTTATCGTCCTTTGCTTCTACAGCCCTTTTTTTCTCAGCTTCAAAAGGTCAAGAGAGGCAGTAATTGTCCCTCTCTTCCAACATTATGTTGGAATATAGGCATCATGATGGTAGTGGTGCTGGTGGTAATGATAACACAGACTGGCAAAATCTTCTCTTCCAGAAACAATACTGCAGAGAAGAAGAACAGCATAATCAGAACTAGAGCCTTCTCATTTCAGAGGAAATATGGAGGCTCAGTGCTCTTCCCATCTGCCTGCAATGGGATCCAGCTGTGTGTCCATCCTGCTGTTCCTAGTTCCAGGAAGGGCAGACTTTATAACGCTTTGATGATTAAAAAGCAGACACTTGAGGATTAAACTAGAATTGAGGCAAAAGTTCATAAATTTCCTTTTAACCACAAGAAGACTGAAGACTTTGCCTCCAAAATTCTGGGGACAAGGAATTAATTAATCATCATCTTGATGTGTTCAACATTCAGTTATAGAGAGAAGCTCAATTTTAATGGAATACCAGGAAAAGAGTCCGCTGGATGATCAGATATTGATTTAAGGTATCACAGAGAGTGTGTATATTCTGTGTCAGAAAGATGGAGGATATTTTCTTGTGATCAGAATTAGAGGTCTTTCCAGCAAAAGACACTTGAAGGGCATCTGTATACTACACCAGAGGCACTTGCCAGGTTCTCAGCTATTCCCACTTCACACACTTCCCATTTTGGACTGTGGTCATTTTATAAAG